ATATGTTTTAGTAATTAATTTGAGTGAAAAGGGGGCGTTTTAATAAGTTTTGCCTAGGGCGCTAAATAACCTGGCGCCGACACTGCTGCGGAGCATTGTGTGTTTCTAGTGGCGTAGGCTTGGGCCCACTGTATTCGATGACTATGACTGTAAGTGGCAACTGTGTAATTAAGAGCTCCGCGTTTAACATAATTATAATTAAGGTGTGATATTTAGAAAGCTGAATGTTGTAAAATAATGTGTATGGGCTATAATGCACGCAACGTGCAAATGTATGTGTTGATGGTTATCTATTATAGTCTAAAAATAAAGGGCTACATGAATGGGGTAAATGTATGTGTTAATGGTTATCTGTTATAGTCTAAAAATAAAGGGCTACATGAATGGAGTAAATGTATGTGTTGATGGTTATCTGTTATAGTCTTAAAATAAAGGGCTACATGAATGGTGTAAATGTATATATGTTGATGGTTATCTGTTATAGTCTTAAAATAAAGGGCTACATGAATGGAGTAAATGTATGTGTTGATTGCTATCTGTTAGAGGCTTAAAATAAAGGGCTACATGAATGGTGTAAATGTATGTGTTGATTGCTATCTGTTAGAGGCTTAAAATAAAGGGCTACATGAATGGAGTAAATGTATGTGTTGATGGTTATCTGTTATAGTCTTAAAATAAAGGGCTACACGAATGGAGTAAATGTATGTGTTGATGGCTATTTATGGGGTCTGTTAGAGGCTTAAAATAAAGGGCTACATGAATGGTGTAAATGTATGTGTTGATGGCTATCTGTTAGAGGCTTAAAATAAGGGCTACATGAATGGAGTAAATGTATGTGTTGATGGCTATCTATGGGGTCTGTTAGAGGCTTAAAATAAGGGCTACATGAATGGAGTAAATGTATGTGTTGATGGTTATCTATGGGGTCTGTTAGAGGCTTAAAATAAAGGGCTACATATTAGAGATTCAACAAATCGGGCTATTGTATCAGAGAATGTCGCCAGGGTCCTCTTATCAAGGCACGTAATCCTATCACACCATCAGTCTATGCCACCACACACACAAAAACTGCCGACAGACGATACCAAACCGCGATCGTCTGCTGTGGTTCAGCTTTGTTTTGTTGGGCGACATTCCAGGGTTAATTGAAAATTTGCTAAAATATCACCGCACTAGGTTTTTCTAGCAGCCAGTGATCCATCGGCACGTCTCCCGCAATAATGGTTAGATTAATTTGTGTTTCACCGGAGCTGGGAAAATGATTTTGCATTGAGTTCGGGTCAAGTTGGAACCCGACGGTCTTGCAGACGTCAGCCACAAGCAACAGGCACCAAGGGCAGATACCATTCTGGAAAATCCCATAACAGGGCAGAAACAAGCCTGACAGCTACATCGAATGGGGCAGATATTGACCGATCTACTAAAATTATTAACATGGCAGATACATTCGGCCGACAGGGCATAAGTCAGCATGGCAACATCTCCTAACAGGGCAGAAACACGCCTGACAGCTACCTCGAATAAGGCAGATATGGACATAACCAATACCATTATTAACAGGGCAGATACATTCGGCCAAAAGGGCATAAGTCAGCATGGCAACATCTCCTAACAGGGCAGAAACACGCCTGACAGCTACCTCGAATAAGGCAGATATGGACATAACCAATACCATTATTAACAGGGCAGATACATTCGGCCAAAAGGGCATAAGTCAGCATGGCAACATCCTCTAACAGGGCAGAAACTAGACTACCACGAATAGGGCAGATATTGACCTATCCACTCGGGATTAAGAGTGCAGATATTGACCGATTACGTACTCATTCCCATTAACAGGGCATATATTAACCTCTCAACTCTACCAAAGCAGATACTATCCAGTCGACCTGATAAATAACATGACCAACTCTACCAAGGCAGATACCTTTCAGTCGACATAATAGAAAATAACATGACCAACTCTACCAAGTCAGATAGCATTCCGTTGACATAATAGAAAATAACATGACCAACTCTACCAAAGCAGATACCATTCAGTCGACGTGATAGAACATTACATGACCAACTCTACCAAAGCAGATACCATTCAGTTGACATGATAGAAAATAACATGACCAACTCTACCAAAGCAGATAGCATTCAGTTGACATGATAGAAAATAACATGACCAACTCTACCAAGTCAGATAGCATTCAGTCGACGTGATAGAAAATAACATGACCAACTCTACCAAAGCAGATACCATTCAGTTGACATGATAGAAAATAACATGACCAACTCTACCAAGTCAGATAGCATTCAGTCGACATGATAGAAAATAACACGACCAACTCCCACTAACAAAGCAGGTATCAATAGATCCTACTTTCCTTTTGGTAAAGCCCCAACCAAGGTGGTCGCCACACAAACCATTGACCCTCATCGATCGATCGATAGGAAATAAAATCAATATCACCAACACGCTTCACAAATCGATTTCTTTCTGCGGAGCTGAAGAGGCTTCAAGATTTGAATTTTGAATTACCGCCATGTAAACCAGCAGCAGTGACAGCATGCAGACGACAAAAGTTGAGTGACAGCAGGTCAGGGTGAGTGGTTGATGGACAAAGCTAAGTGAGGCACGTGATGTGGGGGGGGGGGGGCATTTGGACTGGAGTGAGCGACAATGGACCCAAGTCAGAATAGTCTCAATAGGTATTCGAAAGGCCAATTAAGTATTTTAAAAATCATGTACGGTGTAATTAAAATTAATATGGTTATTATTAATCCTGAATGTTTGGATTTTCTTGGAATTTAAAAAAATGAAGATGTATTTTATCGTTTTAGTATTTTCGGTAAATAAACACAAAATTTAAAAAAAAGACAAAAGCAAGTTTTTCACATGGTAATGTCGACAAAAACAATCATATCCTGCTATTCGATAGGCTAGATTACATTTTATTATATAAAATGTGAACAAAAATAGCAGAACTGTGTCATGTGGTTTAAAATAGCATTATGTCATTTAAAAACCTTTTTTGCAAAGTTCTGTAAACAAATAACTATCGAGCACGAAGTTCCTGTACAGCCAATCAATATCTGTCTTACGAAAGTGAAAGATCCGGTTATAACTAAGGCTTGGTAAAAAAAAAAATAGAAATATAGCCTTATACTCAAAAAATTATTTTCAAATTCTTTGGATTTGCAACTTTATAACATTGATTCTAAAAATATTTAATTTCTGAATTATTTTTAGGCTTAAGTTTTTATTTTTTAATTATTTTTACGGCCGCTTTGAAGTCAAAATATTTTTAAACTTCTTTTATCCATGTCAACAATATAATGGTAAGATTCTCGTCAACTCGCTGGTGTCCTTTCAACAGTACCTTCGTTACTCAACCGAGAATAGTCTCGAAATTACTCGAAAGGCCCATTAAATATTTAAAATCTTATACAGTTTTATTAAAATAAATATGGTTTTTGTCGGACTGTATTGTGTTTTAGTATTTTCGGTAATTTTTTTTTTAGCCTAAAACAATTTGGTTGTTTTAATTTTGTCACAGAAAATCTAAATAAACATGAGATAGCTTCGCCGTGTGGTTTTTAAAAAAGTCTACTTTTATTTTTAAAATTTATCGGCAACGTTTTGAAAACTAGGAAGTGGTGTATATTAAAGATCGATCACGGGGTTTCTATGCGAGTCAATGCATGTGTTACGAAAGTAAAACTTCAGGTTATGTTTTAAGCCTTGATGAAAATAAATAGAAAGGTATCTTTAAACATAAAATATTTTTATAGATCTCTGAATTTACAACTTTCACATCATTGATCTTAATGTATGAAATTTATGAATTTTGTTTACGGCCACTATTAAGGCGAAATTGACAAAAACGTGATTTGCATCAATATTGTTGGAAGGATTCTGGTAAACTCGTTGATGTTCATAGTATTTGGTGAACTAATCATTTGCCGCGGTCAAAAAACATAAACTCTACTTCATCTCTCATATGGATCATTAGGACTGAAAGCGGAACTTGAGCGCAACAAGGAAATAGAATCGTCGTTTTCCCATTTTTAATAATTTTGTAAATAAATTTTTTTAATATTAAACATTTAAATACCTCGGAAAATAAGTTTTAACTAACATTTAAATACTTCGTTTTCTTTCCTTTTTGCTGTTTTTCCAAATTTTGCCGTTCTAAAAAGCTTACTACTTTTTAAATTTATAATACAACTCTTGCAATATTTTCAACATTAATTCTTCGTATTATAATTCAAGTTAGTCATTCGGGATTTCATAAAAGAAAGTTTACGGTGTCAATTTTTAAAAATTATTGCACAATAAGTGTGCACTTTTTTTGGACCTTGTAGAAATGTGACCAAAATGTTGTTGTGATAAAAAGTTATAATATATTCTGCAATATAAGCAGCGTAAATTTGATTGCTATAAGTTCATAAATTTTAAAAAGCTGTAGCATTTTAAAGTGTCGAAAAATTCAAAATGGCGAATGTTTTTTTCGGGTTTTTTTATGATATTTGAAATTGTTTTCAAACGCCGTTTTCCTGTTAAATATTTATTTTCATATTCCAAACATGGGTTTTAAACTATTTAAAAGATGCTAAATTGTAAAAAAAATTAATTAAAAAAAAAATAACTGAGCATATCCACTCTCATGAACTGTCTTAACATTGAATTGATGATTTAATTTTTCAGATCAAAAATTATGTGCGCGGTGTGTTTTTACCAATATGTAGGCTACCTAGTATTATCTTATTTTTCAAGAAATTATATTGGTAAATCTTATTCAAATAATCAATTATTTGAAAAAAAAACATGATGTTAACACTAATATTAAGTTATTTCACACACCTATGAAACCATAACTATTGAAGTCACCAAGTCACCATCAGCTGTGCTTTAGTGTGTGTGGGGGGGGGGGGGGGAGAAAACATGTCCATTATATTTGGAAAAAAGGAAGAACAGTGTTGGGTTTTTTTAAAAAAACGTCATAACATACCTGTCCTCCCCCGTTCAACTTGTTGGTCAGCTTGACCTTGCTGAAGTTGACCGGCTCCTTCATCCAGTGGGCGCCGAAGTTGGGGCTGTCGGGGTGGATGTATACACAGCTGGGGGCGGCGGGCTCGGCCTTACCCCCGGGCACCCAGTCGCCGTTCACGTACTTCCATCTGGTGGGTAGGAGAGGGCAGAAAAAATTAATGGGCAGAACTAGATCGAAAGGGCAGAGAAAATTATTGGGCAGAACTAGTTGATCGCAAAGGCGGCTAAATCTATAGTGGGCGGAATTCGTAGATGGAAAGAGAATGAAAATAAATGGGCAAAATAAACAAATCAAATTTAATGAGCATAAATTATTAACTAGCTTATCAAAACGACAGAATAAATTAACTCACAGAACAAGTTTATAAAAAAATTAATTTGCAGAAGCATTTTAAAGTGCATGGCTAGTAAATGGACAGAAGAAATAACAGAATGACGACTATATCACTAAAAGAATACAACAAATTGTACATACAATCGCTGAATATGTTGGAAGTTAAAGAATTATCGGTGGGTTTTTTAAGAAATTCAATTCAATTTCTAAATTCAATTAGTTTGGTATCTTAGTTAATACCAGTGGATACTTAAAATAATAAAATAATAATAATTTGTAAAAAAAAAACGTTTATAGTTCAAAAAACTTGTTTCACATACAAATATAGCTGGGTGTTGAGGGGTCTGAATCCCCAGCCGCACCAAATCGACCACTAACATTACAGTCTGATATTAGGTTATATCTGTTGGCAGAGACGCGCATGTAGCTTTGCTTATCAAATTGTGAATACAAAACTCATTCCTTCCCTTGCCACAATATGTCATGGTAAAGTGAAAGTGAGAGGTTAGTACACGTAATTCAGTATTTGACAATCATCCTTCTCTGTTCGTGTAGTAGTCACACGTGACCAAGTACTCACCTATGAGAATCCACCTGGATAAAGTCCAGCAGCAAGGTGTACATGGCATTAGGGTCAAGGCCAGACACGCTGGCACGGAACACAGGGAACATCCGCCTGGAACAAAACGTGAAAGGAACATTAGTAATTTGGTCCGTTTTAAAAAAAATATTTTTGTCAGTTATTGTCAATTACTTTGTGATGAAGTGATAAGCTAAGTCATCTATTGATATATTTGGTCAGTATGAACTCGATAATAAAGATTTTAACACTTACTTAATCACACCAAAGTGTTATAATTATATAAATATTTTTTTCGCCAAATAAAACCATATTTCAATCAATGAAATATTTCTCTAATTAACTAAACTGAATAATTTTGTTCTCATCAAAAAATTTCGTCACAATCATGATCTCAGGTTCATCGGTCACTGGTGTGTTCAACACAAGACAATGTCAGCATGTTTTGTTTTGTTAGGATTTTGGTTTGGTTCTTTAATATGGTGAACATATAAATGTAACTCATCAGTCTAGAACAGGGGTCTCCAAACTTTTCAGTCCGAGGGCCGCATTAACCATCAAGTTTCAGTTCGGGGGCCAGTTTCTTCAAGGCATATCTTTGATTTTTCTGGGCAAAGTTCCTCATCATCACCAACAAACGTTTTTTTCTTGGACAAAAAGATCTCCGCGGGTCGTATTTTGGAGACCCCTGGTCTAGAACGATGATTCGTGTATGTGGGTAATAAAACTAAAATGTATAATATAAGGTTAAGTAAAATATAATTGCTAAGATTTTGTTTTATTTTTCATTCGGCGTTTTTAAGTACGTAAATTTTATGTAAATATGCGATAAAATTGCTACATGACACACTGCTACATGACAGTGCTACATGACACACTGCTACATGACAGTGTTACAAGACACACTGCTACAAGACACACTGCTACAAGACACACTGCTACATAACACACTGCTACAAGACACACTGCTACATGACACACTGCTACAAGACACACTGCTACATGACACACTGCTACAAGACACACTGCTACATAACACACTGCTACATGACACACTGCTACATGACAGTGCTACATGACACACTGCTACAAGACACACTGCTACAAGACACACTGCTACAAGACACACAGCTACATGACACACTGCTACATGACACACTGCTACATGACACACTGCTAGATGACACACTGCTACATGACACACTTATACAAGACACACTTATACAAGACACACTGCTACATGACACACTGCTACATGACACACTGCTACATGACACACTGCTACATGATACACTGCTACAAGACACACTGCTACATGACACACTGCTACATGACACACTGCTAGATGACACACTGCTAGATGACACACTGCTACATGACACACTTATACAAGACACACTTATACAAGACACACTGCTACATGACACACTGCTACATGACACACTGCTACATGACACACTGCTACATGATACACTGCTACAAGACACACTGCTACATGACACACTGCTACATGACACACTGCTACATGACAGTGCTACATGACACACTGCTACATGACACACAACTACAAGACACACTGCTACATGACAGTGCTACATGACACACTGCTACATGACAGTGCTACATGACACACTGCTACATGACAGTGCTACAAGACACACTGCTACAAGACACACTGCTACAAGACACACTGCTACATAACACACTGCTACAAGACACACTGCTACATGACACATTGCTACAAGACACACTGCTACATGACACACTGCTACAAGACACACTGCTACATAACACACTGCTACATGACACACTGCTACATGACACACTGCTACATGACACACTGCTACATGACAGTGCTACATGACAGTGCTACATGACACACTGCTACATGACACACTGCTACATGACAGTGCTACAAGACACACTGCTACAAGACACACTGCTACAAGACACACTGCTACAAGACACACTGCTACATAACACACTGCTACATGACACACTGCTACATGACAGTGCTACATGACACACTACTACAAGACACACTGCTACATGACACACTGCTACAAGACACACTGCTACAAGACACACTGCTACATGACACACTGCTACAAGACACACTGCTACAAGACACACTGCTACAAGACACACTGCTACAAGACACACTGCTACAAGACACACTGCTACATGACAGTGCTACATGACACACTGCTACATGACAGTGCTACATGACACACTGCTACATGACACACTGCTACAAGACACACTGCTACAAGACACACTGCTACAAGGCACACTGCTACATGACAGTGCTACATGACACACTGCTACATGACAGTGCTACATGACACACTGCTACATGACAGTGCTACATGACACACTGCTACATGACTCACTGCTACAAGACACACTGCTACATGACACACTGCTACAAGACACACTGCTACATGACTGCTACATGACACACTCCTACAAGACAAGTATTCTTCAATCTGTCAATTCCCAGTACAACTACTGTCTTTTTTGGTCTAATTCTAATGATTTATTAAATTTAGTGAGGGGTTTTCATTACATTTTATTTTAATCTAATTTATAATGTATCTAGTTTGTATTTAAAACCGCAGTTAAAACCAGCTGTGTGACAAATACAAATATCATTATTATTTAAATAAACATGGCGCTGAACTGAAAAAATAATTTACTTTTATTATTCGGGCACTCCTTCCACTATATTTAAATTCTGTCCGGAATTTTAAATTATGCATAGCTTCTTTTTTTTAGTTTTAAATTTGATCCAAACCCCAGAACAAAAAATATCTGGAATCAATCGTCTAGAATACTAATTAGTTGTATGTTAGGTTCAGATATAATTTAAATTCGACACTGCGAAAAAAATATTGAAGTATAACGCAACCTGAATGTATAATGGCGTCGTTTTGTTCTAGATGTATCATTGATTACAGAATAGAATACCATTAAGTTGGGTTGGGGTGGTGGGGGGGGGGGGGGTAGTACAGAGACGTCACTCGCCAACAGGTCTACACGTCACAGACAATCAGATTTTTATCTTTTAAAACTTGATTCTGTTCAATGATCTATTTGTATCAAGTTGTTTTAATTATCTGACATCATAACATTCTGATTGATAATGTGAACTGTCTATTGTGTTCTTCTTCTTCGTTCTGAATCGTAATGTTGGGCAGGATATCTATTGTTAATTTGATAACATCCTGCTCATAGACAATGGGAAGACGGCGCAGGTGTCAGGGACGAAAGGCGATTACAAATACAATTTATGTATTTATTTTTTATTGGTTAAAAATTATGGTTATCGGCCTTTAATTATTTTGTTTTAGATAAGTCAATGTATTTACCAGAATAATTAAAAACGAAAATAAAACTTGTACATTGAATGGATTGAACAAAAACATAAACTTATTACAATCTACTCAGCCCAGACAAGCAAACGAAACAAAATATGGTTAGCAAATCAGATGGCATTAGCGTCACTCACTAGCTCATGATAAATTCAATCAAGATATCCAATTACGGGAACGAATAATTTAGCCAAATGCCTGGCAAACATGTGCGGTTATAATGTGTAGCCAGGTTTTTAGTTTCAATATTAAACACTTAAACCACATTTTTAGGTTTAGTTCCAATGTTGCGCACTTAGCCAAATTTAAACGGAAATTCCCGACTCATCGATCGTGGAAAAGATGCTAATTGAAAAGCTTACGTTTTATAATGTGGTGCCCGTGGTGCTCTCTAAGGGGAAAAATGAATATTTTAAAAATGTTTTACTATTTAAAAATATGGGATCATAAAATGTCTTTCTTAGGTTATTGCACAACTGAAAATACAATTTAGCATTTGTCATTTGTTATTTGTCTTTACATAGTTAAGATAAATAGTTTCAAAAGTCATGTTGACGCTGATAAAAAAAACGAAAATGCCCGATCAAGTATTTTTATAAAACACAAACGTATTCAACTGATAAGAATTAAATATGTGCCGTAAGTATAAAATAAAAAGTATGGGGGTGCTGATTAAATGTACGCTATTAAGAGTTACGCGTAGTTAAGTCAAGATAACACGTTTATTTTAATTTTTTTAAACGTAGAATCGGGGTTGAAGCAGTTATCGAGTTGTCAGAATTATTTTAAAAATTTGTATCATTATTAAAAATATTTAAGGTATAATTAGTATTCTTACAGTCAATTACCTAAGGAGACAATCTAAGCATATCCCAACACTAATACTCTAAAGGTCCCTCTCATTATTGTATATTATGTCATTCATCAGCAACCATCGTTTGTCAATAACATTTGTTATTTTAAAAAGTTAATAAAATTTGTAATGTTTTGTATGATTTACTGTTTAGTTGAGTAATATTATTATTCAACGGGAACGCGATATTTGAGTAAAGGGAAAAAATGTTTATTATATCTGGGTTACCATGGCAACTTCCCTTCCTAAACCAACTGCCATTGGCACATATTTTTTTTTGTGACATGAATGCCGTTATGACGAATGCTAATTGGAAACGTGATAAATTAGTTTAGCTTCAGTAATTATAAGTTGCAGCTCCTATACAGTATAGCAGTTTAAAAAAATACATGTAGGCCTATTACGTTTAATATTTTCTTAAACAAGGTTTTAATTATACTATACCAATCTAAATTTACAACATTATTTTGAAGCTTCAAGTGAAATTCATGATTTAAATGGTATTTTTTAAAACATAATTTTGTATATTAGTCACACTGACCTGCATATTGGCTAACGTGCTTGTTGAAATATATTCTTTTTTTTTGTTCGCGAAAGTATTGCCACCTTTTCATCCCAAAAACGACGGCATTCAATTTTGTGCACTATTATTGTGGATCATTATTGTGAAACATTATTGTCGACCATTGTGAAACATAATTGCGCACCATCATTGTGGATGTCGTCCATAATAGTGGGTCATTATTGCCGACCATTGTGAAACATTATGGTCGAATATTATTGTGGACAAGTAGAGAAAAAAAGAGACAAATCTCTCATAAGAATGCCATTCGCTTCTTCACGTTATCGTATAACATTTGTTCATACAG